GTTATATCCGGGGCAACCTAGGTGAACATGCTTTATTGCACGTATTTCTACTGTGAGCCTTTTTTTCTAGCAACCAAGTAAACCAACTCTCAATAAAGCATGTTCACCTAGGTTGCCCCGGATATAACTGTTGGAGCTGTCTCTTATACACATCTAGATGTGTATAAGAGACAGAAATATAGGTGCGTAACACAACGGCAACTGAGACTGCATATTTTATCCAAACATTCAGCTGATAAGCCTTTTTCCTGCTCTGAGTGCTCATATACTTGCGTCACACAACAGCATCTAAGTAGGCATGTCCTTCGTAAGCATTCTAAAAAGATATCTATATGCTGCCATGACTGTTGATATGCCTGCGTCACAAAGCGGTAACTAAACTGACATATCCTTTCTAATCATTCAGCAGGTGTGACAATCCAATCTAATCAATCAACAGTAAACGTGATTGATAATCAATAATGAACAATCTTTCTAATCAACGTGTGACACTCTGGTGTCACGCGATTGATATATTGTCAATATGCAATCCTATGCAAAACCTCACCCATGAGAGTGGAATGATTGATTGATTAACGATATAAACGAGGTAGCCTTCATTTCTGAATGTTGTTACTCATGCCCCTGGCTCGAGTTTCTTGCGCATAGTGTCATGGTGCCAACTGCCGGATTTTGTCGATGTGCTAACTGCTGGATATTGTCAAAGCAACATTAGCCAACTGCTCACTGGCAAGCATTAGTCCATTTGAAAAATATAAAGACGTTCGATGCACGGAACGAAGCGAATCTGCACCTCGCTGTTTGCTTGAAAAATCTCGTAGCATGGAAATACGTCTTTATAATTCTTATAAACTGTGTCTCACAGGTCTCCGCGAGATGTGTCAGGGGTTTTGTTATTATCATGCCAAAAGAATAGGGAATCGAAATTGGGGTTCAAGTCTGAAGTGTTATAGGCTAGATGTTGAAGTAAATAGTGTGCATCAGCAAGATCCCGAGAACAAGACGCACCATGACGCTCATCCAGAGCACATCATAAAAGGCCTTAGCTTAGGGGCAGGATTACAGCATACAAGGCTATGGCTTGAGCAGGATTACATCATGGAATGCCTCATCTAAGGGCTGGATTACAGCATACAAGATTTTAGCTTAGAATCGGCATTACAGCATAAAAGACTTTAGCATAGGGGCAGGATTACAGCATACAAGGCCTCAACTTAGGGACTGGATTACAACATATAGGGACTCGGCTAAGGGGTGGGATTACAGCATACAAGGCTTTAACTTAGGGGCAGGATTGCAGCATACAAGGCTTTAACTTAGGGGCAGGATTACAGCATGCAAAACTTTAGCTTCGTGGGAGAAGTGAGAGTGAATTTGTTGGTCTGCCCACCAACTGTCAGAGGGACTGGCGGCTCATGGGAATTGCCAGCCTGGCATCAATTGTTGCAGCTGCTGCGGTGGTGGTTGCCGCCTTCTGTCCATCCTGGTTTGACTTTTATTGCAAATTTTTGCTTAGGGAAAACTCTCACTGTTACTCGGTATTATCGCGAATATCTTTGTTTTAATTCTGTTTAAATGTAAGCGTTTGCCATGCTGCCGCTGACAGGGCTCAAATAACTAATGTTATTCCAGTTGCTTTCAAGTTTTATTTTTGACGGAAGTGTTTTTTGTGTGGAATGCAGACCAGGCAGAGGCTGAAATAAAAATCATTAATTTCATAACGACTTTTCTTCTCCGCGTATTCTTGTTCAAGACGGCTAACCTTGTGAAACTATTTAGACAACTTCATTGTTTACTGTTCTCAAGTAAAGTATGCTCCCACTAACATTCTGTGGAACTAATAACAACCTGGTAATATTTATCACTCCTTTGCGGAATCACTCCTACCTTTGGAATGCAACCAGGGGTGCTTTGCGCAGCTCAACTTTTGTAATGACTGCCCCCTGTAAAGAGTACCTTTGTTTGCCTCCTATTTGACTTATGCTACTCTCTTTCTCCATCAGAGTCTTGCTCATTCGAGACTCTTCTCTACGAAACTAACCTTGCTTGGAATCATTCCAGCAATAACCATGCTCTGCCGTGTCCAGCGGCTCTGCTGTGTTCTGCGGCTCTGCCGCACCCTGTTCTCTTTGTGCTGTGCATGCTGGAGCTTTCTGTCTTGGGGCTACATGGACGTGTCTTCGAAGCTCCCATTAAACAAGAACTAGAAGAAGAAGAAGAAACTTGTTTAAATGCGCAGCTTGCAACTTCAGTGATTCTGAATAAAGATGGAGGAAATTTAAAGTATATTTACCTTCGTAATTGGTTTACTTTGCCATTTTACTTATTGAAACGAATTATTTCAATAGGCTGGGAGAATCTTATTTTGGCTTATTGAATACGAATCCGACTAAAAAATTTTCAATATACTTCCAGTGGCGCATTTTCATTAATTGGTCATAAGTTTCATCCAGCTAAGTTTGTTCCTTCAGAACAAACTCGCATAGTGGTAAACGAGAGACTAGTTTTGCTCTTTTTTGTGTCCTATTAGAAGACAAGTAAAGCATCATGGGTACAGTGACCAGGAATCCAGGATACCTGCATTAGCATACATGTCTAATGATGACATCATTTAAG